GATGGAAGGAAAATACTCCCAAATACACTGGGCTTATGGTAAAATAAAGAACTTTGTGTCCCAAAAAGCATGTTAAAAATATTAAAAGGAGAATATTGTTCTCGTTCATGGTCTTGGGAGGGGGAAACATCATTGCCAGGTGAAGAAATGTCTGGAAAGGGCACATGGATATAAATAAAAAATGCTTCTGTCTAATGCTCTAGGGCAAAAAATCCAGTATCCTGCCCCAGCAACATCTGAAAACTGCAGCATAAAGAGAAAAATCCACTTTTTAGTCCAGAATTTCCCTCCTACCTCAGATTTAACCCAGAAATTGCTGGAATTTGAGAATTAAGCTCAAAGCCTGCTTTGGCTGAAAATTCCCGCCCCCTTTTTCCTGAAGGTTTTTAAGGCTCATGGCCCCAGAACTCAGCAGGGAAAGGTGCTGGGTGCCAAAGTCTGGAAACCCACCAAATCCCAGTTCTCCCAGTTCCCCACCAGCTCAAGGTTTTTCAGTCCACGGCGGTGGCTGGAGGCAGAAAGACACCCCTGGATTGTCCTTCTTGGGGTGGGGGGTGTCCCTGGGATAAGAATCTCTTCTCCCGTCCCATCTCTTGCCTCCTACAGAAAAATATAAAGCTTTTTAGATGGTATTTCAGACCCCTCCCCCCTGCCAAAAAAACAAAGAATGAAATAAATACTCAGCCAGAGGTGAAGCCGGACAATACAACAACCAGAAAATAAAAATAAAGGAAAAATTTATAAATGAAAACAAGCAGAAAATAAAACCCAGAGGAAACGGACCCACCCCAACCCCAGCACCATCAACACGAACTAGCTCAAAACTGATTTAATTATGGAATTGTTTACCTTCTGCTTCTCCCTCCAGCAGCAGTTAAATGTGGGGGGGAAATGGGAGGTCCTCCGCCAAGCAAAAAAAGGGGGATGGAGGCAGAACCACACCCCCCACACCCCCCCAGGAGGATTTTTCCCCTCTTTTCCTCTCTCCCAGCTTTTTTTTTGGCCCAATCATTAAGTGATATCCCGTCTGCTCAGGCTCCTTTTTGGAATAAAGCAGCTGCCTCTATAACAAATAAAATAATCCAAGGCTGGGACAAGCAAGGTGTCTCCTATTCTGGTCCTCCTCAACTGTTCAACCATTACTTCCTGGAGCAATATAAGTTAATGTATTACATGAAGCCTGCTGGGAAGGGCCTGGGTCTCAGTGTAACCAATGGTGTAGAATGAGGAAGAGAAATCTCTCATTTTTCTGATCACCACACAGGGAAAGGATCTCGGTCAGTTGCTCTTCATGGCAGCCAGGAAACCTGTGGAAATCCTCTGGGAGGAAGCCTGCTGCTCCATCTGCCTGGGGATATTCCAGGACCCCGTGTCCATCCACTGTGGGCACAGCTTTTGCCGCTCATGCATCACTGAGACTTGGGAAGGACTGACCACCAACTTCTCCTGCCCCCAGTGCAGGGAGACGGGGGAACAGATGAGCCTCCGCCCCAACAGGGAGTTGGCCAACATGATTGAAGTCGCCAAGAGCTTGAACGTGAAACCGGTCAGAGAGGTGGAAGGAGGGGAGAACTTCTGTGAGGAGCACCAGGAACCCCTGAAGCTCTTCTGCCAAGATGACAAAAGGCTTATCTGCGTGGTGTGTGACAGGTCCAAGGTGCACCGTAATCATTCTGTGGTTCCCATGCATGAAGCTGCCCAAGAGTACAAGGTGAGGGGGTTATGGGTGTGTTGAGGCACAAAGGTCCAGAAGCTCCTGGTGTTGGTGCTCTTGATGGGTGGAGATCCCTGTAGAGACTTTGGCCTGTGCAATAAACCCGCATGTGAACTCACCCATCCTTGACTCTTGAAACCAACCCTTGAGGTGGCATTGCCTGCCCTGAGGAAGAGGTGGACGTAGGAGCACCACACTCTTGGGGACCAAGGGGTCCTCTCCCCCAGGGTTCAGACATGAGCAGGGCCTTAAGGGAGGGTAGGAAACAGAGGTGAAGGATTTCTTCCCACCACAATCCCTCTGCAAAACTCCATCAATGGCTCTGTCCTCTGGGGTGCGGGTCCCTTCTCAAAGTCAGCTCTGCTGAAGATCAGTAGGAAAGGAGAGGGAGAGATCCTCACCCCGTCTCCTACCCATCGCCTCCCTGAAACCTTCTTGACCTTAGTGAAAATAGAAAAAGAAAAAAAAGGAAAAAAGGGGGGAGGTAAATTGCCTTGAAACAGTCATGGGGGTCAGGTTCTTACTGGTGCCTTCGTCCTTCACTCTCTGCTGCGATGGCATCGTCACGGGCAAGTCTTCACCTGCCCAAAAGCAAGAATGAAGGACTTATTGTTCACACTGTGAGGTCATTCCATGAGAAACAAGTGTTTTCTTCCTCCCAGGGGCCAAAAAAAAATCCCATTTCCCTTCATCTGCTTCGCATACACGTCAGGAAAAGAAACATGATTTCAATGGTATCTGCCCTTAAAAAAAGGCAGGAATTGTTTTATTTTTCCACCCTCAGAATAAAGAATTTCTGCCCAGTATCTCATCTCAATCTCCCCTTTTTCAGTTTAAAACCAGTTCCCCTCCCTCCCCCTGTCGCTGGTCTCCTACCCATCGCCTCCCTGAAACCTTCTTGACCTTAGTGAAAATAGAAAAAGAAAAAAAAGGAAAAAAGGGGGGAGGTAAATTGCCTTGAAACAGTCATGGGGGTCCCAAAACTCTGCCAACACTTGCCCCAAGAGCCACCAAGAGTTCGTTTTGTGTTCACGTACCTGCGTCACCAAGAGCTTCTGTCATCCCTGGGGCCACCAAGGAGACAGAAGGACCCCCCGGGGAGACCAGCGTATCCCTCAACTCCACCACCACCACCAAGGTCAGTTGGGTCAAGAAGGACCCCAAGAACCAGCCAGGTCCTTCTCCAGCTCCGGGGATTTGCCAGGATGCTCCTAAAAGAAAATGATAAAAAGCTCACAATCCCCCCCAAAACCTCGAAAAAACTCTGCCAACACTTACCCCAAGAGCCACCAAGAGTTCCCCGGTGCTTCTGCTGAGGCTGCCAGACCACGATGCCATTCCACAGGGGACTTCTTTCTTTCTTTCCTCTCAGAAACAAATTCAGATACAACTGCACCTTCTGAAATCAGAGCAAGAGGCGCTTCAATCTTCTGTGAAGGACACACAAGACAGACTCAAGGACCACACTGTAGGTGCCCATCAGTTTTCCTGGGCAGAGGGTGGGGGAAGAAAGGAGGAACATCTCCTCCTCCTCCTCTCCCACAGGGGTGGGTGATGCTCAAGGGCTGTGGGGAAGGGAGAGGGGGTTTGTATCTTCCCCAAATGCCTCTTCTTGGTGGCTCCCACGAAGGCATGGCCCACCCTTGACCCTTGATGCTCTTCTCCTGCTCTCTGCTGCCCTTTCCCTGCTTGGGCTTGCCCTTGGCAGGAGAGGACAGAAGCTGCAAAGCAGGAGATTGTGAAGACATATAGGAAATTGCATGAGATCCTGGACAAGGAGGAGTCCTCTCTTCTGGCCCAGCTGGAGCAGCTGGACACAGAGATAACAAAAGTCCATGAAGAAATCCTGCAGAAGTTTTTGGAGGAGACAACGAGGCTGGGCACACTGATTGGGGAGATGGAGAGGACGTACCAGCAGCCAGACTGGAAGCTCCTGAAGGTGAGAGCCCAGGCTTTCCAAACTGGCTGGGGAGGCCCACCTTGAGCTTGGTCTCCAGCCCTCCCTTGTCTCCCCCAACCCGCTCCAAGAGGGACTTCCTTAGAGTGGGACCCCGGTACTCCAAGGGGAGGTGTTCCATCTCACTGAGTTTCTTCTTCTCTCTCCTCCAGGACATTGGAACCACCTGGAGCAGGTCTGTGGTCCTTCTCCTGTCACCATGTCACCACCACAGAGCAGCTCTGTGGCAGGACACGGGGAGAAAGCACTTGGGGACGGGTTGGCTCTTCTGCAGTACAGCCCTTGGGCTTGACCGAGGCCATGGGGGGTTGGAAGGAGGTCTTCCTCTCTCTCCTGAATGAATGATGAATTTGGACCCGGGCTGGCAGGAGGCAGGAGCAGGGAGTGCTGACAAAACACGGAGCAGCAAAGTACAACCAGGTGTAAATCCATCCCCTCTTCCCTTCCAGGGCCCAGAGGGAAACGCTCTCCCACTCACTCCAGATTTCCCCAGATCTGGAAAAGAAATTCTCGGATTTCACCAATAAGAACCCAGACATCAAGGAACTTCTGGAGAAATTCCAAGGTAGCGAAGGCAGGTCCAGAAAGGCGAATTGCTTCTTGGTTGGGAGGGATGGAGTGAAGCCAGAGGAAAGAAACGCATCCTGGGTGCTGAATGAGGGGTTATTTCTTTCAAGATCCCACAAGGAGACAGCCAACGAGCAGTGAGTGTTGGTCTGCTGTTCCCTGCCTGTCCTCCTCCTCTTCTCCTCTGCCTCCTCAAGTTCTTGACATTCGCCCAAGCCTGTTCCTGACTCTCAGGACTTTTGCAGAAACCCACAATCAGACCAACTTTCTGCCTCTCACATTTTTCTCTTCCCTCTAGATTTCCTGGAGTTCGAGCTTCCATTGACAAGTAAGTGAACCGCACACATGCACAACCGAGTCATATGAACTCAAAAAATATGCTAAAAGAAGCTCTGCTGCCCCTAGAGATTTACCTATTGCTCTGCTGCCTCCTTTCCACTTTCTCCCACCCTGGTCCCACCACCAGGCAATGTCTGGAGGGATTCCAATGGGGTCAGAGGAATGGGAAGGGAGAGAAAAAGCCCTGTATCCCCCTAAACCTGCTGCCATGAGCCTGACTCTCTCTCCACCTCCAGCACAGATGACGCTGGACCCAGAGACGGCCAACGCCAGGCTTTATCTCTCGGAAGACCGCAAGCTCGTGCGGTGGGAACGCCCTGAGCAGGACCTGCCCTCCAACCCGAGGAGGTTCACTGTCCATTCATGTGTGCTGGGCTCGAGGTACTTCACATTTGGGTGCCACCAATGGGATGTGGAGATCCACAGAGATGACGTGTGGGCCATTGGGGTGGCCAAGGAGTCAGTTCCAAGGGACCGTTGGTTGCACCTGAAGCCTGATGAGGGGGTATGGGCTCTGTGTCATAACCGAAATGGGTACAAGGCTCTGACCTCTCTTGATGACACCCCCTTGACTCTACGCCGTGTCCCCAAGCGGATACGAATCTGCTTGGACTATGAGGAAGGGAGGGTGGTATTTTTTGATGCCGAGAGCAAAGAACGGATCTTTGCTTTTCCACCGGCGTCTTTCCAAGGGGAGAGAGTCTTCCCGTGGTTCATGGTGATTTTGGAGGCTGAACTCAAACTTCTTCCCTAAGGCACATGACAAAAAAATCCCACCAACTTACACTTGGGAAAGAAAGCAGGGGGTGGGTTTTGTCCCAATCCCACCAAAGGGACCGGAAAGGGGAGCGGTGTTCAGGTTCCTTTCTTTTAGTGAAAAATGGGAGCATTTCTGTGCCTTAAACTGTATTTTGATCTTTTAAGCAATAAATGGTTATTCCTGGGTTACTGAAAAATGGCACTGATGGGGAATTACAAATAAAAGTTCAATTCTAAGTCATTTCTGCCTTGTGTGTGTGCTTTTTCTTGTGGGATTTTATTTTCTGAAGGTTTTCTTTGGAAGTTGCTTAAGAGAACTGGAGGAAGGAAAAGTCATCCTCGTTCCTCTCTAAAAACCACTAGCACAGGGAGATGAGAAACCTGTGTTTTCTGCCCCCTCAAACCCAACAAGTCTGTGGGAATAGAGGTGGGGAAAAGTCAGCTGCAAGCCAGGAGCTGGAGTCATTTGCAGCTGGGTCCCATCCTGACTCCATGTGCAAAGGGGGAGTCAGAAATGGGCAGAAACCCCTGGAAATGGGGCTGCTCCTTTTGGTGCTGGCTCAGGGTGAGCCCTGATGCGCTGGGCTTTAGTCAAGGAAGAGCCTGGGCTTGTTCCTTGAGAAGATACAGCAGAGCCAGGGGCTCAGATGAAGGTCCATCAAGTCCTTGTCTTGTCCCCAAACATCTCTGCTTGGGAAAGCAGATAAGAGCAGGGTGAGGATGCCTGTGGCCCCAGGAGCCCTCTTTTCCCAGGCTTAATGGGTTTTAATGGTAATTTTAAACAATTAAAAGAGTATGACAGTTCAGAGAGGAGATATTGCTTTATTCAACGTCAGGATCTAGGTGGAAATACACAAATCTAGCACCCCTTCCTGGGCACATTCACTCATTATTCATACACAAAATATTCTCTTTATTCCACCTCCCTAACCCATGACTCCACCTGGGCTGACGTCTTCTTGAGTGTGACCCAAGAGCCCTTTCTGAACCTCCAGATTGAGGAAAAACACTTCCCAGCAGCAACTTCTTGAGGGGTCAGGATTTGGGGGGACCCCAGAGAGCCCCCATGGGAAGTAAAACCGGGGAGGGAATAGGGAAGGGCTCCAGACACCCACACTCCCACCACCAGCCCCCCACGCTGCCAGGGCTGGGGGGAGAAGGCTCTGGGGTGGGGGGGAAGCCGTCCCCTCCAAGGCTCCCAAAAGCAGGATGGAATGTGCCGAGGAGGGGAGGGCACAGGGCTGCCACTAGCAGGAGGGAAACACATGTAGAAATACATCATATTTTAATAAACAATACAAAACAGAAAATATAATACAAGCCGACAATAAGCCTCAGCATGATACAGACTCTCACTCTCATGGCAGCCCCACAAGGGCCACTTCACCCCCCGACTCTGTGGCCCCTCTGCCCTGCCCAGGGCTTTCTGTGACCACCTCATCTGGGAACAGCTGCTCCAGCTCCAAAGCCAAAGCTTAAAGAACATTTTCAAGTTTTTTCCATCACCATTTAGGCCAAATTGGCCAATGGCAAGACGAAAGACACTCTTCCCCACCTCTCACTCCAAGGAGAGGAGGAGGAGAGAGAGCTGTGAGTTTAGAAGCAACTACTTCAATGAAAAAAAAAAAAAGAAATAGATATAGACAATGTGCGCAAAACTCTATCAAGGTCCCAGGATGGCATCACCAGCAGGTACTGGGGAAGTCCCACACTGGACTCAGCCAAAAATGGGAATCACATTCCCCATTTGGAGTCAGGAACACACGGATTGGGATCAAAGACAGACAAACAGACAGGGTCCTCCTCAGATTGTCGTTCATTGAAGAAAGAGCTGACCCTTTGGTCCCTCAGCTTTTCTACTGAGCGTGGGGCAGATGGGATGGAACACCCCCTTGGTCAGTTTTGGGGCCCCCATCCTGTACCCTCCTCCCCATAGGAGCTATCCCTCTACGCTCTTCTATACCCAATGGGGCAAATCACAGAGTTACCTTGGTTGTCACAGCAGCAATCATCACCACAGCTCAAAAGAAGCTCTGTGTGAACCTCCAAAAGGAGAAACCCACTCATCGCACAACCCCAAGTCCTGATGCAGGCAGGGACATGTCACCTCCCGCATCTCCCCTTCCCACAGGTTCATCTCCGGAGAGCTGGCAGTGAGTTTGTGAGACCTCAGCCCTCCCCTGAGAGAGTGTGGAGAGACATAAAGGGTGTCATTGCCCAGGGACATCCCCTGGGCAACCTGTTCCAGTGTCTCACCACCCTCAGAGTAAAAAATGTCTTCCTGAGATCTAATCTGAATCTTTTTTCTTCCAATTTAAAACCGTTTCCCCTTGTCCTATCATTATCCTTCCTGGCAAAGAGTCCTTCTCCAGCTCTTCTATAGGCACCCTTCAGGTATTGAAAGGCCGCTATAAGGTCTCCCCGGAGCCTTCTCTTCTCCAGGCTGAACAACCCCAGCTCCCTCAGCCTGTCCTCAGAGGGGAGGTGCTCCATCCCTCTGATCATCTTCATGACCCTCTGCTGGACCCCTTCCAGCAGATCCATGTCCTTCCTGTGTTGAGGACTCCAGAGCTGGACACAACACTCCAGGTGGGGTCTCACAAGCACAGAGTAGAGGGGGAGAATCACCTTCTGCAACCTGTTGGTCACACTTCTCCTGATGCAGCCCAGGATGGGGTTGGCTTTCTGGGCTGCCAGTGCACATTGGTGGTTCATCTTGAGCTCCTCATCCATGAGCACTTCCAAGTCCTTCTCCTCAGAGCTGCTCTCCAGCCATTCTCTGCCCAACCTGGATTTATGCCTGGGGTTGCCACATCCCAGGTGCAGGACCCTGCACTTGGCTTGGTTGAACCTCATGCCATTTGCACGAGCCCACCTCTCCAGCCTGTCCAGGTCCCTCTGGATGGCATCCCTTCCCTCCAGCGTGTCAACTTCTTCCTTCAGGCTCCCTCTGGACTGGACCCTTTGTGCTGCTGGAGCTTCTAATTAAATAGTTGCTTCAGAAAACTTGACTCCTGAAACTCTGCTGCAGGAAACTGAGGTTAATCACACGCACACTCCCACTTGAGCTTTTCTTAACTTTCAGTTTTCAGCAGAGATAAGGCCACTTCTGGCAGAGCTGAGGGGGTTTCCGAGCAGAGCTAAGGAGGTTTCTGAGAAGAGATAAATCAGTTTACCAGAGCAGATCAAAAACAAAAGTCCATCGTTGCTGGGGAAGAGACGAGGCTGTTAGCCCATTCCAGGGTTCCTGCCACAAGAGAAGTTTGTTGTTAAAGAGGAGAGGTCAATCAGCCACTGACGATGCTGATGAGACAGAGGTTTTCAAGGCTTTCTTCACCTCCCTCTTCACCAGCACCCCAGGCCCCAGCAACAACCATCCAGGGGGGGACAAACCCAGACCCCCACATCAACCAGGGAAGAGTTTTGGGGTGAACTATGGCAGGAGCTGGGCCCCTAAAATCCATGGAGCCTCATGTTCTCCCCCCCCGAGGGTGCTTGGGGACCTGGCTGACATCACTGTAAGGCAGCTCTCCATCATCGTTGAGAAGTCATAGAGACAGGGGATGTCCCAGAAGGTGGCTAATGGTCTACCTGGATTTCTCCAAGGCTTCTGACATGGTTCCCCACAGCCTCCCCCCAGAGAAATTGGTGTGTTATGGTCTGTGGGCTGGGGGGAGAACTGGCTGACGGGTAGTAAGAAAACAGCAGCAACATCTGACCCAGACTCTAACTCTCACGGGAGCCCCACAAGGACCACTTCATCCCCCAGCTCTGTGGCCCCTCTGCCCTGAGCTTTCCTTACAGGGTTCATCTGGGAGCAGCTGCTCCAGCTCCATCACCACAACTCAAAAGAAGGGCTGTGAGATTTATGAAAGAAGCAAGAAGATCTCCAGGATGGTCCCAAAAGGAGAAATCCACACTCATTGCACAACCCAAGGTTCCTGATCCAGGCAGGAACATGTCACCTCCCGCATCTCCCCTTCTTGCAGGGTCATTTTATGAGGGCTGGCAGAGAGTTTCCAATGAGACCAGGAGGAACCAAAGCAGCAGATGAGGGAAGAACATCCCCAGGAGACCAGAAGAGCAGAAGCTCTGAGTCCCTACCATGGAGAAGGTCCTTTCTCCATGACTCCTGGCTCCACTCCCAGCTCCCCTGGTCCCTCGAGAGGTAGTAGCAGACATTGTGGTACCCGACCCAGCCATCAGGACACGCCAGCACCGGAGCCACAGGCACAGCTGGATCCCCTCCACATGTTCTTGCTGGAGAGGGAAGGGGAGAAGGGCAGAGGATTGGGCTGCGCAGGGACCAGGGGACACAGCTCCGTGGGGCAGGGAAGGAGGCAGCCGCTCCTCCCTTACCTGAGAGCACAGCAACAGCCACGGCCAGAGCGAGGACCAGAGCCACCAGCACAGCCACCACCAGGACCCGTGTCCTTCTGCCTGTAGCCCCAGGGACCTTTCAGGGGTGTTCAGGGATAGGAAAATGGGGCAATGGGCACAAACTGCAACAGGGGAAATTCCATCAAAATATGAATAAAAACTTATTTCCCATGAGGGTGTCGAAGACCTGGAAGAAGCTGCCCAGAGAGGGTGTGGAGTCTCTTACTTTAGGGATATTCCAAACCCACCTGTAGACCTTCCTGTCCAACCTCGGTGTCCCAGGGGCAGGACATGTCACCCCTCTGCCCTCCCTGGCACCCCCCAAAAAGGGGGCTGTGGCCCCTCTGCCTGGCCTGGCCACCACCGTCCATCCCTGATGGGGTTTGGTGGTGCCAGCGCAGAGCAGGCACCGAGCTTCTGTCCTGAGGGCCAAACTGGGAGGTCACCAAGTCCTTTGGTCACCCCCTTTGTCTGGGCAATGTCCCAAGAGCTGGACACCATTTAACAAGGGACTGGAACCACAATCCAGCTGATAAACCCTTCCTCGCTCCAGAAATGGCCCAGGTAAAGAAGAGTAAATATTCATCACAAGTTTTCCCTATGTTGGTCTTGCAGAGGCAGCACGGGAGTGAGCGTCACCCTCAAAAAATTAAACCCTGTCTGTTACCCAGGTCTCAACCTTTTCAAAAAACACCTCAGACCCACAATTCTGGTTTTTCCCACTGCAGAGGGGGATGGAAAAGAGAAGAGAATCTGAGCAGAGAAAATGAAGGGAGGGGTCATCATCCAAAGGGGGATGTGGTTTTGGGGACCATCCTGCCTCCAAAACCACTCCTCAGAACACGAGCAACCCCATCTTTAAGTGCCTGCAGGCAGAAATGGGACTGAAAAGGGACAGAATGGAAAGGGGAGACCCCAACTGGAAGGGGAAAGGCCCCCCCCCCAGGCATCACGGCACAGGGAGAGGGGACCGGTGCTGAGCAGCCCGGGGAGGGCTGGGGAGAGGCCAAGGTGGCTTCCGTGGGCACAGAAAAGTAAGAACTTTTCACTCTTATTTCCCATGTGCCTTAGCAGAGATCCCAGGAGGATCTGCTCCGTGACCTTGCCAGGCACAGAGGTGGGACTGACTGGCCTAGAGTTCCCTGGGTCTTCTTTTTTCCCTTTCCAAAACCCACTGCACGGGGAGATGAGACCCAGGGGTTCAGATGAAAATCCATCAAACCCTCCTCTTTTCCCCACAGGTCCCTGCCTGGGAAAGCAGATCAGAGCAGGATGAGGATGCCTATGGCCCCAGGAGCCCTCTTTTCCCAGCCTCAGTGGGTAATTAACCAATTAACAGGGTGTAATGAGGGACACTGGGGGGATCTGATATTTGGCTCTGCCCTCTCTCTAACCCCATTGGGCTCTGGCAGTGTTTTGATCCTTCTCCTTCCCAGGCTGCATCATCCCAGTCTTTCCCCGTCCATCCTGGGCTTGAGTTTGGTGCCCTCACCCTCTTTGCCCCCCCCCACCATACTGGGAAGCCCCAAACTGGTCCCCATACCCAGATATTGGCCTCACCTGTGCTGCTGGAGGGGAGCAACCCCATATGGGGCTGATATCACAGGAGGGTTTAGGTTGGAAGGGACTTTACAGACCATCCAGTCCCACCCCCTTGCCACAGGCAGGGACACCTCCCAGCAGACCAGGTTGTTCCAAGCCCTGTCCACCCTGGCCTTGAACATCTCCAGGGATGGGGCATCTGCAGCTTGTATTTCGGGACTCGGTGACTGATATCAAATAAAGGGGATCAAATGAGTCCCGGTCTCCACCTCCAATCTCATTCTCGTGGCATTTCCAAGAGCAGGAGATTCAGAAAGTGTCACCTTGGGCGGATTTTTATACATTTGGGTGCCCTCCACGATTTCTCCAGGGAATCTCACCCTGGGAGGAGCAGGAGAACAAAGCCCAGGATTTGGGCAACAGCCCCTGGGGACACCACTTTCAAAGCTTTGACCCCTCCTGCCCTTCTCCCACCCTTTCCAACTTCTCCTGACCTTGACGCTCCATCCTCTTGACTCTGGACGGTCAACACTGACGCTTGTGGGGCTGGAGAAGCTGGTTTGTTCCCAATTTGGATCTAAGAAAGGAGAAGAATATTCTGCTGAATCTGCCATCCTTGAGGAGCAAGAGGAACCCCTGGGCAGGAAAGAGAGAAGCCAATATCCAGCAGATGCTCCCAGCTGCACGCTACACCACGATGCAGAAAGAGGTGAGGCTGTGGTTCCTCAGCCTGGGGAAGGTCCTTCCTCCATCACCTCTCTCACCCCAGCTCCTGGGGCTTGCTGCAGAAGTACGGCCGGTGCTGTGAGCAGTCTGTACTCCCCAAAATATGGTCGAGCAAATATACACACTCTGCCTGGCCCTGCACCACAAACCTGCAACAAGCAGCACAGACACCCCTGGGACCGTGGGGGTGGCAGTTGTCCCCTCAAGGCACCAGGAGGAGACAAGGGCTGCCTGCAAGGGACAGCCCCAGCAGACACCTCCCACCAGGACCCTGCCCGTCCCACCACAGGACGGTCTCCCAACAGGAGAACCGGATGAAAAGGGGAGGAGGGGTGGGAATCGGACGAAAAGTCGCCACTTCCTGCAGGTTAATTTCATGAGAGCTGGCAGTGAGTTTCTGCTGAGACCAGGAGGAACTGGACCAGCTGGACATCAGAGACCAGAGGAGGTGAAGCTCTGAGTTCCTACCATGGAGAAGGTCTGTTCTCCATAACTTCTGTCACCTCAGCGCTTGGGGCTTGCTGCAGATGTATGTCCGGTGCTGTGAGCAGCTTGAACTCTCAACAATACCATTGTACAAATATGCACACTCTGCCTCACCACGCGCCTCAAACCTGCAACAAGCAGCACAGACACCCCTGGGACCGTGGGGGGGGCAGTTGTCCCCTCAAGGCACCAGGAGGAGACAAGGGCTGCCTGCAAGGGACAGCCCCAGCACACACCTCCCACCAGGACCCTGCCCGTCCCACCACAGGACGGTCTCCCAACAGGACTCACGTCTGGTTGAACCTGCTGCCGTCCACCCACTCCAGGTGCTCGCCCCGTCTCCGCAGCCCAATCCAGGAATTAATGTAATTGAGGTGTGAGAGGAACCACTGGGCAGGAAAGAGAGAAGCCAACCGTTCAGAGCTGCTGCCAGCCCCACGCCAGTCCCTCTCCCACCCCTGGCCCCACACAGCTACCACCAGCCCTGGGATGGCAGCAGCTCCCACCCCACGCCTGCTCCAACAAGCTCCAGAGCTGCTGCAGGAGATCACCAGCCCACACAGTGCTCCTGGTCCTGCTCTGACCCAGCTCTGCTCCCACCCCACACTCTGTGCCCAACCCAGGAACCCCACCAAACCCCCACGCACCCACAGCAGCCCCTCACTCACCATTTCCCACTCCCTCCTCAGCACGGCCAGCGAGGCCCCACGCGAGGAGCACTGCTCCTGGCTCCACTCCCAGCTCCCCTGGTCCCTCGAGAGGTAGTAGCAGACATTGTGGTACCCAACCCAGCCATCAGGACACGCCAGCACCGGAGCCGCAGGCACAGCTGGATCCCCTCCACATGTTCTTGCTGGAGAGGGAAGGGGAGAAGGGCAGAGGATTGGGCTGCGCAGGGACCAGGGGACACAGCTCCGTGGGGCAGGGAAGGAGGCA